TGATAAAATCAACTAAAATCAATGATAAAATCAACTAAAATCAATGATACAATCAACTAAAATCAATGATACAATCAACTAAAATCAATGATAAAATCAACTAAAATCAATGACAAAATCAACTAAAATCAATGATACGATCAACTAAAATCTGTGATAAAATCAACTAAAATCAATGATAAAATCAACTAAAATCAATGATACAAACAACTAAAATCAACGATACAATCATGTGGAGGCAGAATAGGCTTGCTTAAAAAGAAAAGTCTTTAAGCCTTTTTTAAAGTCAGTCAATGATTGTGGAGCTCTCAGATATTCAGGGAGGGAGTTCCAGAGGCGGGGGGCAGCCACACAGAATGCCCGATCTCCCATGGTTCTTAATTTAGTTCGTGGAAGGTGGAGGAGATGACTGTTCTGTGATCGTAGGGACCGGGTGGATGAATATGGAGCAAGAAGCTCCTTCAGATAATCTGGTGAATTTCTGTATAAACACTGATGGTGATGAGAGCAATTCTGTACTGAATTCTGTAGGTGACAGGAAGCCAGTGGAGGTTATGGAGTATGGGTGTAATATGTTCAAATTTACGAGCTCTCAATAAGATCCTGGCTGCACTGTTTTGAATATATTGAAGCTTCTGAAGGTTTTTGCCAGGTATTCCAGTAAACAGGGAGTTGCAGTAGTCGAGCCTGGAGGAGACAAAGGCATGAACGAGTTTCTCTGCATCAGCAAAAGTGAGAGATGGACGAAATTTGGAGATATTTCGAAGATGGAAGAAACAGGTTTTAAACAGATGCTTAATGTGATTTTCAAATGTAAGATGAGAGTCCATTTTTATTCCAAGATTTGTAACAGAGGTGGAGAGGGGGATGTCTTGTCCGGAAAAGGAAATAGTCGTTATAGTTGAAGTTTGAACCTGGTGAGGGGTGCCAATCTCCTCATCTCCAGGCAGGTAGAGAGGGCAGCGAGTGAAGATGGAGATGACAGTGGTGAAGATGATGCTCCAGGCCTGATGTAAAGCTGTGTATCGTCGGCATAACAGTGAAAAGAAATGTTGTACTGATTAATAATTTGACCTAAAGGCAGCATGTAAAGGGAAAATAGCAGGGGCCCTAAAACTGACCCTTGAGGGACACCACAGGAGACACAGACAGTCTGGGACTTGGCATTGCCAAGACTAACACATTCCAGCCTATTGGAGAGGAAAGATTTAAACCAGTCCAGGGCAGTGTCACAGAGACCGACCTCCACATGAAGACGGTGGAGGAGGATACTATGGTCCACAGTGTCGAAAGCTGCAGTGAGGTCAAGGAGAACAAGAGGGAGGGAGAACCAGTGTCAGCAGCCATGAGGACATCATTGGTGACTCTCAGCAGTGCGGTCTGAGTACTGTGAGCTGCACGGAAGCCAGACTGAAACTTCTCATACAGGGAGTGTTGTTGTAGGCGGATCTGCAGCTGAGCAGCAACTGCTCCGTCCATCTTCCGGACGACTGCATGTACATGTTCTCATTGTATCTCGGTGCAATGATAATAATAAAGCTTATTCTGATTCTGATTCTTTTTCCAGCACTTTTGACAGAAATGGGAGGTGAGAAATTGGGCGGTAATTAGAAAGAATGTCTGGATCCAAATTAGATTTTTTCAGAAGAGGCCTAATGATGGCAGTTTTAAGAGGCAGTGGAACTTGACCAGATTGCAGTGACTTATTTATTATTTGTGTGATTAATGGGCTTATTGCAGAGTGATTGGATTTAATGAGAGACAAGGGGAAAGGATCCAGGGCGCAGGATGAAGGCTTCATTTTCTTGATGATGGTCTCCACTTCACTCAGAACAACCTCATCAAAGCAGCTCAGGGACCCAGAATGCAGACGGGTAGATGGCAGACGAAGATCAGGGAGGCTACGGAGCTGAGATCTAATGGAGTAAACTTTATAAGCGTGGTTTAACCGTGTCGCGTCGTCAATTTTCAAAGCGGCATGCTTCTCATGTTTTATCTTTGTGAAGAGCTCCCACACTTTGGAGGACTTCGGTCGAACAGTTTTCTCTGCCTTGGTCATTTGTAAAATTTACTTATTTTCCTTTGAAAACAGCCTCTGCTCCGTTTCCTCCTCCCCCTCGCTCTGTTCAACTCGCGCTGCAGAGTTATTTTTATTTTTTTACTTTATTCAGTCAGTCAGCATTGACAATGCACTGCCTGTGAACAAAACGGCTCCGCAGCGCTGTGAAAGACGCATAATCGTGCGACACAATGAATCAATAATGAAATTCGTTGCCAACGCTTTTAATCATTGATTTTTATCGATTTTATCGATTCGTTGTTGCAGCCCTACTCTAGAGCCTGTCTTGTGTGGGATTTCTCCTTCTGCCTGGCTCCTGAGCTAGTGGGGACTCTGTCTGCTCTGTGGTACAGAGTCCTGATGACTCCTAACTTGTGCTCCAAAGGGTGATGGGAGTCAAACTGCAAATACTGGTCTGTGTGGGTGGGTTTGTGGTACACCTCAGTTTGCAAATGTCCTCTATCAGAGACTGAGACCTCACAGTCCAAGAAAGCCAACCTGCCATTTTTTACATCTTCTCATGTGAACTTGATGTATTTATCCACAGAGTTGATGTGGTCAGTGAAATTTTGGACTTCCTGAGATTTGATTTTAACCCAGGTGTCGTCAACATCCCTGAACCAATGACTTGGCGGTGTCCCTGAAAAGGACGCCAAGGCTCTCTTTTCTACCTCCTCCATGTACAGGCTGTGCTAAGCGTGCCTGGTCTGTACAGTCCATCACTTGCTGAAGTTGATCTAGGCACATAGTTAGTTTCTGTTTAATGTGCTCTTCTTTGGCCTTCAAGGCCTCAATAGTAAAATTGGTCTGACTCACCCTTTCATTCAGCAGCTGGGTCTGGGCCTTCTGAAGGATCTTGCTTGCAAGAACTCTGCAGACCGAACCTTGGATGTGCTCTGTCTGCTGGACCCGGTTCTGGAGGGCAGTCTAGGAGGCAGCTGCTGCTGTCATTATTATCATCAAGCTGCTGATGGGACCTGCTAATGCTGCTAACAATACCATGCCGCTAACAGTATCATGCTGCTAACTGGACCATGTTGCTAAGATAACCTCACTGTCATCAGAACCACTGCCAATAGGACCATGCTGCTCTAGATTTATTTCTTTTTCATTCTTGGCACCTTGTTTGTTTGTTTTTTTGTTGTTGCATGCTTTGAATGAATTCTAGTTTATGTTAATTTAGTTTAAGTTAGTGCTCGTATGCTCACATTAAGTGTGTAAATTATAGCTGAACAGAATCTATGAGAATCGTGCTGCTGCTGGTCAGTGTGTTGTTTTGCACCATTAGTGACTGGCATGAATTTTAGATCTTTTAGCGTACCATTTGGCATTTGTTTAAAGTATATCTTAGTTTATATCTCATATCCTTATTTACGTTTTTTTTTTACACTTTATATTATTGCTATTGTTGGATGTAACTGGGACCCTGTGTACACAATTTCGTTCCACCATATGTACCACATGTGATGTGAATGACAAAGAAAATCTGACTCTGATGTGATTTCCTGCATTTTGTTGTATTTTAACAGGTTGTAACCATCTACGTGCTTGTAAACAAACAAACAAACAAAATATCTATATCCTGTATATATATTTTTGTTATGTTTTTGGTGGACCCCCAAGCACCGGCTTGCAGACCCACGGGGCCCCAGCTTGAGAACTACTGACTTAAACAACCATCAGAACAAGTTGTGCTATTGTCCACCTAATAAACCACCTGATAAACATGTATTGTTTTAACTTGTTTTTAAATGGTGCATGCACACGCAGTGAATTAAGATTTATCTTTTCTGCAGAGTCATAAAAGGCAGCGTCTCCAGAAAGGAGTTATCTTTATAGATGATCATGAACCTGAGCTGGAAAAGGAGACATCAGGTCTTGAGAGTTGGAGTGCAGCATCAGAAGTCCAGACAGATGGTTTGTCCTCATCTTGCCATGTAAGTGCACACACCAGGAAATAATGATGTACTGACACATGAGGGCACCATTGCTCACTAAATGTACCTTTTCTGACAACATAATTATGACCAGCTCCTACTTTCTCTTCCAGCTCTGACCATTCCTTTGACATTTTTGTTATAAAGCTGTTTTTGTTTTTCTTCATGCTAAGTATAAATGTTTCACTCATGATGCAGTATGATAAAAAATGAAAATATATACCAAGTAAATTAAAGAAAAATGAGAAGAAAAAAAATTCAAATTTAGAGAAAAGAATCGTCAACATTTAGTTATTTTGTCTTCAAAGCAATTAATTTTTGTCTCACAGTATTTAAAGTACAATTTAGGCATGGGTTCTAAAAGCCAGTTTCTGGAGAAAAATAAGGGGTATTAAACGTCACAACATTGTAGAAAAGCACAACTATTAGCATCAACAAAGTCCTTGCTCAATAATCCAGGTGTGCAATCCAACAATTTTCAGTCAGGACTTTGTTGGTTTTGAACCATTCATTCATTCATTCAACCTTTATTTCTACAGGTAAATCCCATTGAGCCTCGAGGACTCATTTACAAGAGAGACCTGATTTAACAAAGAAAGATGACAACAATGGACAACAGCAACAACAATAAACAGTTATAAAAAGTCATAATACAGGTTTTTTTTTTTTAACAAATAGGATGGCTAAAAGAAAAAAGTAGCAAAAAAAAACCAGCTAGATTCTAAGGCTAATGTAGAAAACTAAAAACAGGAACATGTCTGCATTGGTCCCTGCCAGGTGTCCAACAGATTCTTAATGCCACTTAGAGAGGTCAAAGGTCAAGAGCTTCAATTGTTTTTGTAAGATATTCCAGGAAACAGGAGCGGAGTAGGAGAAGGTCCTTTTGTCTAGTTCAGTCCTCACTGAGGGAACACTGCAGGTAATGATGTCCTGAGAGTGCACTCCGTAGCTGCACTCACAGAGAGACATGTAGGAGGAGATGTATGAAGGCAGCAGACCAGGAAGTGATTTAAAGATGAAAATATACCAGTGAGAGAGTCTGTGAAAAGTTAATGGTGACCAAACTAAACATAACGTCCCAGTGGCTTTTAAACCCCAAAATACATTACGGCAAAGACTGGTTCATCCCAAAGATCCAGTCCCCCGGCACAAACAGAGTAATATTGTGTATGCTGTTCAGTGTCAGGAGGGTGATCAGTCTTACATCGGGGAAACAAAACAGCCACAGTCCAAAAGGATGGACCAGCACAGAAGATCAACATCATCAGGCCAGGACTCTGCGGTCTACACTCATCTCCAGGCCAGAGGTCACTCTTTCAGGGATGAAGATGTTCACATCCTGGACAGAGAGGAACGATGGTTTGAGAGAGGAGTAAAGGAGGCCATCTTTGTGAAAAGAAACCGTCCATCATTAAACAGGGGTGGAGCCTCCAGGTTCAACTGTCCCCCTCTTACAATGCTGTGATTGCTAGTATCACTCAGCCCTCTGTGAACAGTAAACAGCCATCAGTGTGCTAATGACCCATTGTTAGGCTGATGGTCCTTCTTGAGCATGTGATCAGTTGGTTTTGGTTGTCAGCAGCAAACTGGTTGATCCACTCTGAGAAGGTTCTATTTAAGAGACTGAGCTGAATACAGCACCTCAGACTGAGGAAGTCTCTCGGACGAGAGACGAAACGTTTCTACATTTTTTGTTGTTTTGCTTTGTTTTGGGTTTTTTTGAATGTCCAGAGGACCAGATTTAACTTTTTTAGATTTTTCTACCTGGATTATTGAGCATGCGTCAGGATAATTACAAATCCTATTTTTTATTTTACAACAAAGAGCTATAAGAATTATTAGCATTATGAAGTGCTATGGGCACCCAACAAATATATTATTTCATCAATTGAAATTATTAAAATGTTATGATTTGGTTGAATATAGTATTTTACAAGTCATGTATAAAGCTCATAAAAATATTAGCCCCAAATATTCAATTAAAATTAGTAAAAAATAAATATAAAAAAAGGAGAGTCAATATAACTTAAGGGAATGTAAATGTTGGTAAAACCTCCATTTAGAACTAGTGTGAAGGAGCTGTGTTGTAGTTCAGGGAACAGGATTATGAATTGTCTTGATATCACCATAAACATTTCTAAAACAATTTATATGTTTAAAAAGATGTTAAAGTTGTTAGGAAAGTATAGTACCAGGTGAAGGATACCTGAAGTTTTGTTGTTTTCAGTTTGGAGATCGTTCAAGTCAAGGTTGTTGTTTGTTTCTAGTTATTTTGTATTTTTTTAAATTAGAGGCAGATAAGAATTATTTTCATCTTTCTTCAATCTTTTCATTCAATGATTTTTTTCTTTCTGATGAATTTCTCTGGCAGGGTCCAATGCAGACATGTTCCTGTTTTTAGTTTTATACATTTGTCTTGGAATCTAGCTGTTTTTTTTTTTTGTTTTGTTACCTTTTTCCTTTTAGCCATCCTATTTGTTTAAAAAAAAACAAACAAAAAAAAACTGTAGTATGAGTTTATATAACTGCTTATTGTTGTTGCTGTTGTCCATTGTTGTCATCTTTCTTTGTTGAAATCAGGTCTCTCTTGTAAATGAGTCCTCGAGGCTCAATGGGATTTAACTGTATAAATAAAGGTTGATTGATTTTATTTTAAATGAATGAATAAATGATAAAAACAAACAACAAACATAACATGCAGCGCTGGGGGTGTTTCAGGGACACATTGGCTCAAACTTTTATTGTGCTTCATCTTGTGACTCATCATCTTCTGTCAAGTGGAACAAATTAGATGTTCCAACTGCTAGTTAGAACGACACTCCGTCACATTTTGCAGCACACTGACTGAAACCGTTGGTTACGTACTGTAACCCCAGATTCTATGAGTATAGGCGTAGCCCTTTAAGGCTGTCGCTGCTGGGTTTATCCCGATATGCGAAGCATTGCACTGAAAAATTTAGTCCACGCCCACCTGCTGTGTGGGCCCCACCCGGTCCGTATAAATAACGTTAAGAGCGGGTAATCGGCTCCCAAAATAGCTTTTTCTTCAGCCATTTAGGAGCCAGTGAGGCCCGACGCTTAAAGGGCTACGCCTATACTCATAGAAGCTGGGGTTACAGTACGTAACCAACGTTCTATTTCATATAGGCTTCGCCCTTTAAGGATGTCGCTGATTGGTTAAGGGCGAAGCAGATGTGGTCCTCGCCTCACTGGGTCCATTTGAACACGGTATGAAGCAGAAGCTTGCCCAAAGAACGTCTTCTCACTCACCTCCCGATGTGCGTAATTACGCATTGCGTAATTATGTGTACCATGCACAGACGCATGTTGTGTAACTATGCGTTCTGAATGCATGAACGCCCCGGAAAACTTCAATGGGGAGAGAAAAATGCTGAAAAGAGCCATGAACCAACCGGTTTACAGCTGAACAGTATGAACAGATTAATAATAACAGGAGAGCTGATTATTAATCAAATGAACTGATTGGTAACAATAGTCATGAACTGATTAGTGACAATAGAACCAAAATAACAATCACAACTTGAGATCGATAACAACATCTCACACTGTAATGCATGCAGACAGATGTGAGTTTAAACAGAGTTCCATGAAACAACAATATTCATTCTGTAAAACACTAAGGACAGAATGTGTCATTGGACGAGCCGTCACATCATGTAGATAAAAGTGAATAAATGAGCAGGGTGTTGACCACGCGGCCGCAGTGCAAATATCCTGCATTGTCATACCATTATGCAAAGCAGTCGAAGATGCGATACCCCTGGTCGAGTGTGCTCTGAGGTTGACAGGAGGCTCTAAATCTGATGCTCTGTAGGCTTCAGAAATGGCCTCAAACCAGTGTGACGAGCGCTGGGTGGATAACGGGCGACCTGCAGATGCATCTCTATAATGCTCAAACAAATGTTGATGCATTGCAGCTGTGCTCGCTATGTAACACGTCCATGCCCGCACCATACAGAGTAGATGGAAAAACGCTTCTTCTTCTGATCTGTGGGGGGAAGAGAAAAAACCCCTCCAACGATATCACTCTTGTTTTAAAAGAGCTCATGATGTTTTTAGGCATAAAAGCTGAATTTGGTCTTAAATCAGCTGAGCTGCCGTCAGCCTGAATTCTGAGACATGACGGAGCGACGGAGAGATGGCTGCAGCGTACGTTTTAATCGTGCTGGACGCCAAATTTCTGTCCATCAGCTGTTGTAGAAAGGACAGCATGCCACCTAGTGGACATGAGGTGGCCTCTACACCCTTCTCTGTACACCAGCGCTGGCTGAAAAGCTGTCCGCTTTGATGTGTACAGCGCTGTGGTAGATGCAGCACGTGAAACCTGAATTGTGCGCACTACATCCTGTGGGAGACCATCCTTTCTAAGCGGATCCGTTCAGCGGCCAGACCACAGGTGCTGGCCTATTTCTGGGTAACTCCTAATCGCTCCTCCTACCTGGAGGAGAGTGTCCTCCCTCCACGGCCGTTTCCACGGGCGCCCCGACAGCAGGCGTTACAGGACTGGGAACCATGGTGCGTTCACGCGTTCGGGGGCCACCAGGAGAGCTGTCAATCCCTTCTTCTGAACTCGGTTCAGGATCCGTAAAATCGGAGAAGGTGGAGGAAAACGCGTACAGAAGCATTTTGCGCCATGGGCTGTGGGCAAACGCATCCACCCCCAGCGGTGATTCGACTCGCGGGCTCAGGGAAAACCATAATTGACACTGAGTGTTTTCTCGTGTCGCAAATTGCTGCTATTTCAATCTGAGTCAAAATGCTCCGTCAGAGGATGATTAAAGGTTGTTCTGTCTCCGACAACTTTGAGACAAGAAGAAAACATGGCTGCAACATACGATAATCGTGCTGGACGCCAGATTTCTGTCCATCGACTGCTGCAGAAAAGGACAGCACGTCGTCCAGTGGACATGAAGTGGCCTCTATTCCTTCTCTGTACACCTTTTACAAAATGTTTCATCAGCAGATGATTAAAACTGTTC